AGACAAGGACCAAGAACAATTCACGAAGCAGCTGCTGTACTACCTCGGTGGCTTTGCTGGTGGAATTCCGGTGAGCACTTAGGTATTGCTCTGCTAGCTAGTCAAGTCTTTTATTGTTCTTTTACAATAATAATCATAATGTAGACTAAACCTTGATGTAAGCAAAACTATTCATGCTGAGTTCAGTTTTATTACATGCTCATATCAAAATACTGCATTAGCATTTTATCAGCTGTGAACTCCTACTATAAAGTTACTACTATAAAGTTACTAAAACATTAATTTGAGATGAATATTGTTAAAAGGGTTAGAGTTGTCTTAATATGGAGAGATTTTGACAGCTTGTGGGCTATTCATTGGTCATTAGTTATTATCTAATTTAATGTCTAACCAACTCTATGTGAAAAGAAATGTTTTCAATTTCGATCTCCTTTGCTGCTAATTTGAACGATAGATGGCTTACAAGTCACAAAAGCATGCCTTCTATGAATCCATAACTCTCCTTTTATAAGAAAATGATAGAACTTGAATTTGTCTTACTAATACAAAAAACATTTCAGAATAAGGTTCACATGCTATTTTTTGTTCTTAATTCAGTTGTTTTCTGGTGTCTTGGCCCTATCTGACGTTTTCATCATAATTTAAATGTAGTTCTTTGTATTGAGAGATTATGCGAGAGACACTCTTGCTTTAAGATGGAGATCTTGGATGACGGCATATTATATGGAACGCTACCTGAGTGACCAAACATTTTACAAAATCCAGTCACAGTCTATCATTGACAATCCTGATCAGAGGATTGTTGACGATCTTAGTTCCTTCACAGGGACAGCCCTTTCCTTCTCTTTGACACTTTTTAATGCAGCTGTGGATTTAATATCTTTCAGTAACATCCTCTATGGTATCTATCCTCCGTTATTTATTGTTTTACTTGTGTATTCAATTGGTGGAACAGCAATCAGTGTCTTTCTTGGGAAGGTAATCTTTAATCTTGTTTTGAAATCCACATTACGCTAAAATTTTGTGCCAATTCAATTAGATGGAAACTGTTTCAGTTTTGATTCCAGGGATTGGTTACTCTTAATTTTCTTCAAGAGAAAAAAGAAGCAGATTTCCGTTATGGACTTGTACGTGTTCGAGAAAATGCTGAATCAATTGCTTTCTATGCTGGAGAAGAAAATGAAATGCAACTTCTGCTGCGGCGCTTCAGACGTGCTTTTGAAAATTTAACTGTATGGTTATTTTTTATCTTCTGTTGTCTTCATTTCTTTGGTTTTCATCATGTGCAATTGGATTTTGTCTATCTTTCTTTCCCTATTTTTTAATGTACCTAATCTTCCCTGAATCCTGGACTTTGGTTGATCAGCGTGGCTGACAGCATGCTTTTATCTTTGTAGATAAGTGCTATCATCACAATAAAATATAAATGGATCCATGCTAGTAAAATCATTAAACTGTATATAGATTATAGAAAAATCTGATCATCCTTTTTCTAAAAGTTAAGTTGTATAATTAACTGTAGTTTTGCTTTCCCAGCAAGCTCAGCCTTGGCAAATTACAGTAGTAGAACTTCAATTATCCTATCCAGAAACCAGTTTCTCATGTTTAAATATTTTATAAACTGTGATTTCTTTCGTGCTTACATTGTAAACAAAGAACCTTTTTGTCAAACAATTAACCAGATTGACTACTTTCCTTAATGCATTTAACCATTGTTCAAACTCCAAAGGAGATCTAGGTTGTGCATTTGCCTTCAACTGTTTTATACTATTATCTATTATCTCATGTGGGTTTAAGTCATATTACCATAATAATCTTTTGTGATTGTCAACATTTACTTTTCACTTTGCAGCAATTGTTGATATCTTCAAGAAATCTTGAGTTCTTTACCAATGGGTACCGGTATCTCATTCAGATCCTTCCAGCTGCTGTTGTTGCTCCTATGTATTTCTCTGGAAAAATTGAGTTTGGTGTCATTAATCAGTCTGTCTCTGCTTTTAACCATATCCTTGGGGACTTTTCTCTTATTGTGTACCAGTTTCAAGCAATTAGTGCCTTTTCTGCTGTCATTGATCGATTAGGTAACTTGTTCTTACCATTTATTCTAATAGAAAGCTTTCTATAATTGCTTTTTTACATTTCCATTTTAGAATAGCACTTTAAAAAAAAAAATGGTAGTTTGGTCCACATATATGCATCTTTTGCTGCAAGGCAAATTTTTACCATTTCTAACAGGAGAGATTATTTTTTAAGAGTTTTATTGCAAATAGTGACTTCAAATTTTAATTAATTGTAGTGTTTTCTGTTGTTTGGTCTGCAGCCTCAACTTTCATGAGTTTTCTACCATTGATAACACTCCTCACATATGCAGGTGAATTTGATGATATCTTGGATAGCAGCTCCAAAAGTCTCACTGACCTCTCACAGGAGATTAGTCTTAAATATTGTAATATTCAAGATTCATCAACTTTGGAGTCTAATGGATCGATGCTTGTTCGCAAGAATCAGAAATTACTGGAAATAGAAAATTTAACCCTAGAGACACCAACAATAAAAGCTACACTTGTTAGGGACCTAACTTTGGTGATCAATTACAAGGATCATTTGCTGGTTAGTTTATTGTTTGGTATCCTGAGTTCTTTGGGCTTAAAAAGATTGTGGTATCAAGCACATGAATATATATTTTTTGTTTTGTTTCTTTTCAGGTGATGGGACCTAGTGGAAGCGGCAAAACTTCTTTGCTAAGAGCACTGGCTGGCCTTTGGGTTACTGGAAGAGGGAAGATAACATTCTATGTGGAAGATGGAGATGATTCCCATCCACTTGCTTCTAAAGATATGGCTTATGGTGAAGTAAATACCACAAGCTACCTGGAGGAATTTGGAAGATCCATAAATAGAAAATCTAGAAGCATATTTTTCCTTCCTCAGAGACCATATATGGTTTTAGGAACACTTCGACAGCAGTTGCTTTACCCGACCTGGACTGTAGATGCAATACCTGTATCAGATGGTACCGAAAAAGGTATGTTTCTCATAAGTTTTAATATATCCTTATGCTAAAAACCCGTAATGAACTTAAAAAGAAGTGACTACAAAGATACAGAGCATGTTTCCTCCACAAATTAAAAAATCTCTAATGTAAAGAGATGTTTATATCTTTGCATGAATTCCATTGTCCTTGGTGTTACCATTAGCATGGAGAATGTTGTTCCAATAGTCAGTTAGTTTACATACAGTATATCTTGTGGGAAGTGCAGACCAGAGTGTTTGGCAGATTTCTCCAAGGTTCAAAGAAGCCTAAGCTGATAGGTTCTCCACGTGTTTATGTTCCTTAATTCATATTTTGTCTTGGTTTGTGTATGATTCTCACATGTGAGCCTCAACAAATCTTTCATGTTCATCATGAGTAATGATTAATACTCCCCTGTGCAATTATAGACTCCCTGAAATTCAATCCAACCAATTATCTTTACTTAGTCATTTTTCTTTTTGCTTCAATGGTCATTATCTATTGGTGTGTGTTTATGTGTGCACCTATTTTCATCTCATTTTTATTATACTCATTGGTATTAAGAATATAAGAAGTAAGGAATGCTAGTAGTGTTGATCCTATTTGATAATTTAAGCTCTTATTGACCTTTACAGGTTCACTGCCATTTTTGATGCGGATACAAAACTCTGAAAATGCAGGTGGACAGTGTAATAAGCCTAAGCCCACAACAGATGATTTAGTACAGGTTTTAGATGATGTCCGTCTTGGCTACATATTGTCTCGTTTTGGTGGCTTGGATGCAGTGTGTGAGTGGTCCAGTGTTCTTTCTCTTGGTGAGCAGCAGCGCCTTGCTTTTGCACGGCTGCTTCTTTCAAAACCAAAATTGGTGCTATTAGATGAATCCACAAGTGCTTTGGATGAAGCTAATGAGGTATTCCTGGGTCCGAAACTCAGCAGCATCTTGTCCCCTCTTTCATTCTCTTAATTTCATACTGCAATGACTAAGATCCCCCTATGACTAACATGTTTATTCAACAAACAAAAGATCCTAAAACACAAATAAATGAGAGAGCATCATAATGAAATACACCTACAATTTAGTGACAGAAGAACAAATGTTATACTCATTGCATGCCTTGTGATATTGTCAGTGCATTGACAATTTGGAATATTTTTCCTCTTAGAGAAACACCATAGCGAAGGCGAGTTTCATTTGGTTCTACTCTAGGAAGCATTGCTTGTTCTTCCTCTCAATTGATAACCATAATTTTGTGCCGTGTGGGGCTAATTTGTGATGCTTACATGAATCATAATACTAAAATTACTTGTCTATAATCTTAGATTTTCAAGGTGTTACTTCACTTTTGCAGGCCCATTTGTACCAGAAAATTGAAGGGGCGGATATAACATATGTCAGCATTGGCCATCGCAAAACATTACATGCTTACCATGATAGGATCTTACATATATCCACTGCAAATCAAGACAGTACACACCGTAACTGGGACATTGAGTCCATCAACCGTGACACCTCATATAATTTGCAAAAGCTATAGTTGCAGCTGCCACATAAGTTAAATGGCCATGTTCAATTATCTTTCTCCTCTCAGTAAGTTCCAAGGTGAATTTGAATACAAATTCAGAGTACAAGGGAGGAAGCAATCTGGTTAGGAGCGTACATTTCAAATTGGCAACTGTAACCATATGATATAATTATATTTATCTTCCACTCTAATGTTGCTGGTGCGGTTCATGTTCTCTTTGCCTAACCCTTTATGAAAGATAATTTATAATTTATTGAAGCAATACGTATGGTGATAGTAAGTGCCCAGTACACGGATTTCCTAATAAATTGCCAGGTGCAGGTAAGGTTATATAGAAAGGACAACAAATATGATAAATGATGCGAGGCTGAAGAGCAGCATCCAGCTTGTGGCTGAAGGTCATTAGCGCAGAGGCATTATTGTAAGTTTGTGCTTTCAACTTAGTTTGCATCTATCCTTTTATTCCTTAAGGTGCAATGTGGCATATCCTTTTTTCTTTTTTAAACTAACAAAGGCATTTTGGCGTATCTTGCAACTGTTCTAGGAGGTTGTTAGGTTTGGACATAAATGTGTGACACATGCAGTGCACGTTGGATTTTGTACTATTCCAAAATCTAAATTATTTATATTTAGTTTTAACCCGGGGAAAATCAATAGGAAAGTAACAGTTTATCGGTGCATCACATGGGTTTAGTGCTAGATGTGATGAAGTGGTTGGGCATAATTAAGATGACATGTGAATATTGACATAATCATTTGATTAACTACCCATTAACCATAAACTGCAAACCATCAACCACCCTTTTAGTCTTTATTTTATTCTAAAGTACTGGAAAATCCAAAGAGATTAGGAAGATGAGGCAAAGTTAAGTTCAACTTAGTATATTTTAATAGAAGAGGGAAGAAGATGTAACCTAAGTTAAAGGATAATGTTAGATATTTTAAAATAAAAGGAGTATATGAGTGGAATGGGGCAAAATTTCAACAAAGCAGTAGGGCCTGGCTCAACACGGGATGGCTTGGATGCCTCATGCTTTTCGGCTTTATCTTGTTCAATGTTTTTAATATATATCTTTTTTATATGAGAGTGCATTTGTTGCTTTCGTTTTGTGTTGAGATATACTGTTTCTCAGGGTAATATAAAAATGCTTGGGATTTTGTCTGGGCGTGATTTTGATTCTTCTTTCAAAGTTAAAAGCCTTTCTTATGGAAACTTGCAATCGATGGCTTCAAGAATCCAGATTCCCTAGAACTCAGCCCTACCCACCTCTTTGGTCATAGTCTCCCATATATATCATCTTATCTCTTAGGGCAACATCAACCAAACAAAAATGAAAAATATCCTTATTTCCTCGTTTATACTTACTCGGGAAACCCCTTGTCATGCTTGCTCATGATGTTTGCTCTTTCCTCGCCAAGTCTTTGTGGGAGGCCAATAGTTGTGGTTCACGTGAATCATTTTATGCAAATAGAATGTAATTGTTTCCATTCTCAAACGTTGTTTCAAGTTTTGTTTAAACATAGGTTTTATTTGTCTATACTTTCGTACAGACTTATTTTTACAAAATATCTTGTTTAAACATATAAATTTTTAATTTTTAATTAATATTGTATATATTTTTAAAATAATAAAAGGGTTTTTTAAGTCACAAATTAATGGCACATTTTTTACATCAATTTTATTAAATAAATAAAAATTAATATATATAATTAATTATTTAATTAAAATAATTCACGTTTCATTAATGATGGATTTTATGTAAATTTTTATTATTTTTTAATAGTAATTAATAAAAAATGTATAAGTTGTAATTTTAATTTATATCTTAAAATATAGAATAGAAAGTTTTATGGTAAAAACAAAAAAAATCTTATCGTTGCAGTCCCCACTAGCATAACACAGCAAAGCCTGATTGTTGAGACATTTATTATGATATAATTCTCATAATTTCTCATTATATCGGTGGTTTGCCTTTATAACAAAGAGTTGGACAAGTGTTGATATACATTCCAGGCCTATTTGATAAGGTGGCCTGTTTTTCGTAAAATAATAATAATAATAATAATAAAGAAATTAATTCTTGTGAACTCCATGCAAATGGTTTGTCTTTTGATTGGACTGGGAAGATGAATGATGGAATCTCAAGGTTTTTTTAATAATCGTCAATAATAGAGTTATAATTTTTTTACAATAATTTGAGCTCTCACGTTGCATTGGTTATTTTTAAGAAATAAAATATATAAAAGCATACGATGCCATGGATTATGCATGCATATTCACACAATTATATGTTGATTTAGAAACTTTCTCTAAAATATAATCATCTAGAAGCCAAGTGGCATATGGTTGTTATTTTTTAGAGCAATGCTAAGGGCACTCGCTTTTCGCACTCTCCGGTCAGCACTTTCTCTTTTATTGGGCCACGTTGTCTTGGTTCCCGAGAAGTTAGGCTGAAAGCTTTAAAGAAGATTACGTGGCCCAATGAAAGGGGAAGTGTTTGCCGGAGAGTGGGAAAAGCGAGTGCCCCTAGCATTGCTCTATTTTTCATAACCAAGTGACCTTTTTTTCAAAAAAAATAACCGAGTGTCGTATTGTTAAAGCATTGTGCCATCATAAAAAATTGTTAAACCATTGTACGATAAAATTTTTTTTCAAACCAATGAAAATAAAAAGTATATCGGTAAATGTATCGTTTTCGTTTTCTTTGAAAATATTTATTGGTATTTTAATTTTAATTTTATTTTTTTATTATTTTAAAAATATATAAAATGTTAATTA